CTGGGGTGGAGCATCTGGAGAGTAGGGCGGGCTGGTGCTCCACTCCTCAGTTTATATACAACTGAGAGAAATAAGGTCCAGGCCAGGGTTTTGGACTGTCTTCAACCCATTGCTTAGCAGCAGGTAATCAGTTGCAGCAGTGGGAATAAAGCGGCCCCTGCTAGACAAGTAAAGGGGGATTTTTGGTTCCCCTTTGGAGGTTGGAAGCAGCAGGCTGGCTTGGAACATTGGGATGCAGAAGGATAGCAGTCAAGGTGACTGAGCACTGGAGTGCAGAGAGTTTCTAATAAACAATGTTGGTGAAAACCCTATTTTGTTTAAGTTTATTTCTCGCCAGAGAGGGAAATTGAATGTTAGTAAGCGCTCAGACTAACTATGAGTTTGTTTGCAGGGATTTCTGTAACATTATTATTTCTTTGGTGTTGTTCCTGATGCTGCCTCCTGTGTGGATTTCCAAATCAAGTGACTGAACTTGTATTAAAACAAAAGTCTGTGCATGTTTGTACCCTAGAGGACTGTGCTAATTGCTATACAGGATCACAATATATTAAACTAAAACCCCTATGTTTACTAGACTTGGGCATTCGTGTTTGGACAAATGTATTTTCGGGCCATTCGTGTCAATACTGAATAACAAATGGGCTCCAAACAAAATCCTTCCATGTGCCATTCGTTTGTTTGTCATTCACAATTCATGTTCAGTGATTTACACTGTCTGTAATTCAAAAGGCCAAATGCACAAATGGCTCATTCTTTTGGTGAGCCATTCATTCTTTCTGCTCACTCCCATCATATCTGATAGGAGTGAGCCAAACTAACGAATGAGCACCGAATGAATGAGCCATTTGCACATACAGAACCTACTTTTCCCCCTCAGCCCCCACCCATTACCCAGGGGGTGGGGCCCAAAGTAATAATGGGGGGGACAGGACCTATAGTGAGGGGGTGAAAATAAACTAAATGCTTATTAACTGAGCAATGCTAATGCCTTATAATCTGGGAATATACCTTTGCATCTTTCCTTGCTAAAAATGTGACTGTTTTTAGCATTAGTTTGACTTGATTAGTGTTTCTGCTGTTTTTAATCTTTCAGGATTTTTTTTCTTTCAGGAATTGCGCCAGATGATTGGAGGAAGGCAGATGTGGTTCCTATATTCAAAAAGGGCTCAAAGTAGTTGCCTGGAGATTGTATACCTGTGATCTCAACTTCTGTGGCAGAAAATGTATTTGAAAGGTTATTAAGGGATACTTTTCAGGAAGTCATTGAGGAGAACATCGTTATCAACAAAATTTAGCATGGTTTTATGAAACATAGCTTAGTCCATACTAAGTTAAGTGCATTATGTGAAGAAGTAAGTTGAAGTATATATCAGCGAGTTGCAGTGGATGTGATCTACTTGGATTTTGCCAAGTTGTTTTTGCACTCTGGGAGGAAATTATGACATCACTTCCTCTGAGTGCATTGCTGCTTCATGCGGAGTTAGTAAGATTGGCAAGGCTGTTTAAGGGCCTGGATTGGTGTAGCTCTTTAAAATGGTCTGGTTTTTCGGGAGACAGAAATATTTAACCTTCCAGACTTCATAGTGTAAAAAAGGGCCCCATACAGGCACACATTTAGGGTATTCATGCCCTGATGGCAACCCTGCATCTGACAAACAATTCCATATATTGTTCCACCTGTCCTATTTTCTCTGGGGCTCAATACATAGACAAATGGGCATTCATTCATGTCTTCACCAATAGATGTCAGTCTCCAACCTGTGGGGATATTTATGGGATGATAATATTATACAGTTGAGAATTGCCCACTATTTCAATTCTCTTAGATCTTAGAGATCGTTATCATGTAAAAATAGATATAATTTATCGTGACAAATAAAATAATAATAATATTAGGCAACATGCATGATAATAATCAGTGAATATTTAGTATAACATAAGTATTTAATACAATGGCAATATTAAAAACAATCCAATGTTTAACAGCATCAACTGTCAAGACAATATTAATGGGTGTTTCTCAGTGCAAAGAAAGCAAAACTTCACACAGCCCAGCAAAAACCTTGGCAAACAGTTAAATCAACTGAGTAACCCTTTCAATGCTGGCTAGATCCTCCTAGGCATATAATATCCTATTCTCATTTAATTTTTTATTAAAATAACATTCAAACCAGCTCATTAATCATTTCCTGGAACCATCCAATAAGAATAATCTAGATTCTATAAGCCGAATTTTAATTTGCCTAAAGATATCTTATCTTATATTAGAGCAAATCAATACACCTGGATAAAAACAACGGTATGCTAACACGTGATAATATCACATTAATATATAATTATTCTTAATTCCACCTGCAGAATGGAATGTTTATAACTATATATTCTTTAGTTAACTAAGATTTCTAAATATTGAAATCTGACCGTGATTTATCCAGTCATATATCATGCTATTAGATTTTAATTAATTTAAATTAATTAAATAAAACCAGCAAGTCCCAGGGAAATGCGAGTATGATTGGTAGTATGGAGGTGTGTGAGAAGTAGAGAAAAGTGGTGTTGGTTAGAAAGTATCAGTAAAATTTTAAGTGTCAAGGAGTGTTTCTTGAGTTGTGTCCAAGAGAGTTTGAGAGTTGAATGTTAGTCCCAGAGAGTGTCCTGAATCTCTCTCTGCATGTCCGAATCTGAATGCCCCAAAACTAACTTTCTCTCTTCCCTTTGTCCTAACTTTTAAAGGGCCAGACTCTCTGTACGTCATTAGTTGATAAGGCCAATAGGATACTGAAAGTGTGTTCAACCTGCAGATTGCAATTTAGGTATTTGATCCATAGAGGGCAGTCTCGCCTTACTAAACCTTCCTATCCAGGAAAGAGTTAACTTTTCCTGATGATGATTTTGACATCAATTGGCTTATCTAAAATGACTACCATAACTTAAATTTGTTGTCAGTTCAAAGCGTTTGTCTCAGTCTTTGTGGCAACTACTTTGATCATAATTTCTAAAATTGACAGTTCTAAACTCAATTTCACCCCTTACTTACAATGGGACCTTGTAAAATTTAGAGAGTAAAATGAATTACTTAGTCTTCTCTGTCACTAGTGTATTAACATTTAAACAGAGCATTCCATCCCCCTGCTTCATTGCTTATCACTTGGCTTGTTTATATAATGCATTCCTTAGCTCAGGCTAGTGGCTAGTTACAGAAAGCAAGAAGAAATTATGTGTCTTTGTTGGCCTGAAGATCCAAAATGGAGTCCGCTCTGTTCTGTGAGTGACTCAGGCAATATACACTTTCAATTTCTATCTTAGCACAAAATGTCTGTCGATATTAATATCCTGACAAACCCATAAGCCTGGTTAGACATCATGGGAATTTTACTGTGAAAACATATAAAGGCACGGCATTTAACAATGTTGTGAACTTCAGTTCCTCCAATGATCTGTCCGTCTTTTCGTTTGGCTGAACATCATGGGAATTGCACTTTATATTTAAACTTTAGATAATTTTATGGAGACTCGTGGCCTAATTTCTCCCATTTACATTGAGCGCACACAAGTACATTGATTTACACACTTACAGACATTGCAAGCACACAATAATGCCTTCATACACACATACTAATATTGCACACACATAAGAACCGCAAACAAAGTAAAACATTTTGATTATATCAACCTCTAGTTGAAAAGGTTATTTTTTATTTTATATAGTTCACTGTGGTTTTTTTACTTTTAGAAAATATATCGTCTCTTGATGACATCAGCAGCTAACTGGCTGGCCCTGCTTGTAGGATGTTTGGTATAACTTGATATCCTTGCGAAGATACTATATTTCTACATCATCATGGCAGGAACTGTCAACATAGATGCAAATAAAAACAGCATCTAGTGCGCTCTGTATTATTATTATTATGATATTTATAGAGCGCCGTCAAATTCCACAGCGCTTTACAATGGGTGGACGAACAGACATGTAGTTGTAACCAGACAAGTTGGACACACAGGAACAGAGGGGTTGAGGTCCCTGCTCAATGAGCTTACATGCTAGAGGGAGTGGGGTAAAATGACACAAAAAGGTAAGGATATTATTAGACTAGTGACAGTTGCAGAAGAGGAATCAGTCAGGAGCTATTAACAGTTTAATTGATACGCTTTTATGAAGAAGTGGATTTTTAACGATTTTTTGAAGAAGTGGAGACTGGGTGGGCATCTAACAGAGGAGGGAAGCGAGTTCCACAGGAACGGTGCAGCCCTCGAGAAATCTTGAAGGCGAGCATCAGAGGTGGGAGTACGGACAGAAGATAGACTTAAGTCTTCAGCAGATCGTAAGGGCCTAGACGGGACATACTTGTGTATAAGGGAGGATAGATAGGTGGGAGCAGCATTATGTAGAGATTTGAAAGCAAGAACCAGAATTTTAAATTGAGTGCTATATTTTATAAGAAGCCAATGTAGGGACTGAGAGAAGGGTGAAGCATGGGAGGTGCGGACGGACAGGAAGATGAGTCTCGCTGCCGCAATCATTATGGACTGTAACGGCACTAGTTGGGAGCACATGAGACCACTGAGAAGCGGATTACAGTAGTCAACGCGAGAAAGGACAGTGGAATGGACCAACACCTTAGTCGCATCTGGCGTTAAGTAGGGGCGGATGCGCGCAATGTTTTTGAGATGGAAATGACAGGATTTGGCGATAGATTGAACATGAGTCTTGAAGGAGAGGTCAGATTCAAAGAGAACACCTAGGCAGCGAGCCTGCGTGGTGGAGCTGATGGTAGCACCATTGACTTGGAGGGAGACAGACACAAGAGTAACAACACTTGAGGGAGGAAAGACCAGAATTTCAGTTTTGGTCAAGTTTAGTTGAAGGAAGTGGGCAGCCATCCAGTTAGAAACAGCAGAGAGACAGTCAGAGACACTAGTCAAGAGGGACGGAGAGAGATCAGGAGAGGACAGATAGATTTGCGTGTCATCTGCATAGAAATGATATTGGAAGCCAAAGGAGCTAATGAGTTTTCCAAGGGAGGCAGTATAGATGGAGAACAGTAGGGGACCAAGGACTGAACCTTGGGGGACGCCAACAGAGAGGAGTTGGGGAGAAGAAGCAGAGCCAGAGAAAGAAACACTGAAAGAGCGCTGGGAGAGGTAGGAGGAGCACCAGGAGAGAGCAATATCTTATAGACTGATATTGCGGAGGATGAGAAGAAGCTGTTGATAATCAACAGTGTGAAAAGCCGCAGACAGGTCAAGGAGAGTTAGGATAGAGTAGTGACCACAAGATTTTGCAGCAAGTAGATCAATGGATACTTTGGTCAGTGCCGCTTCCACAGAGTGCTTAGCGCGGAAACCAGACTGAAGCGGGTCTAGCAGAGAGTTGGACTTGAGGAAGTCTGTCAATGTCGCATAAACAATTTTTTCAAGGATCTTGGATGCAAAAGGCAGTGGCGAGATAGGACGATAGTTCGATGGGGAGTTAGGGTCAAGATTGGGCTTCTTTAGAATTGGGGTTACAGTTACATGTTTGAAGGGCAATGGAAATATACCAGAGGAGAGAGAGAGATTGAGACTTTTAGTGAGAGGTGGAGAAAGAGAAGAAGACAGAGTACGGATTAGATGTGAGATTGGATCTAGGGAGCAGGTGGTGGGGCGGGAGGACTGGAGCAGAGCAGAAACCTCTTCCAATGTAGCGGGTGCGAATGAACATAGAACAGCACAGGGAGTGAAGTTAGGGGAAGTATTGTAAGGGGAAGAAGAAAGTATTGTTAAAATAACTAAAAGGATAAAAAGGATATATACTCACAAGAGAGGAGCAATGTCAAGTGTTGCACAATCCTAATAGGCGTAGGTGGTATATTCCCCACCATTCCTTGAGAGCTCTAGAATCTGTTTTTATTTGCATTTTCATATACCAATGACTTCTGACTGCTACACTGTGGGTTTGTTTTGTTTTTTGTATCCTAAACAATTCTTCTGGCACTTGTGGCTGGAATCTTTCTTGGTCAACCTGATCTTGGTTTGGTTTCAAGAGATCCCTAAAATTTTCAACTTCTTAATAAGTGATTGAACAGTACTGACTGGCATTTTAAAGGCTTTAGATATCTTTTTACATTTTGTACATTACCTTGTTATGCAAGTCTTTTGACAGTTCTTTTCTGCACCCCATGGCCTGTATCTAACCTGCTCAGTGCACCCACATGAGAGCTGACAAACTTATTGACTATTTAAACAGATACTAATTGCAATTTAAAAAGCCACAGGGGTGAAAAATTAACCTTTTAATTGCCATTTTAATCAGTGTGTCACTGTGTGTGTGTCTGTAACAAGGCCAAACATTCAAGGGTATGTAAACTTCGGATCATGGCCGTTTGGGTGATCTCTCTTATTATGATTTAAAAAGGAGCTAAACAACTATGTGATCATAAATGGCTTCATATGATCACTGTCCTTCAATAAAATACATTTATTTGCATGATCGGTCATATTTTCAAAATCAATGTCCAAATTTCTCAATTTCTGCCAGGGTATGCAAACTTTTAAACACAACTGTGTGTGTGTGTGTGTGTATATGTATGTATGTGTATATATATATCACTGGCGATTATAATGGCCCTGTTCTCAATCTATATCCCATTCTACACAATAGATAATAGTACAAGCTGTGTGAATATGAATATCATAGAAAACAGTAATTTAAGTTTACCTTAAATTATTATTTTCTCTTCTTTTTTTCTACACAATAGTATTTAAAATAATTTAATAATAATGTTTCAGGGTATCTTCCAGTCAGGTGCTTGATATGTAAGACAAGAGGCAAACGGTGATACACACAGGAAGACATCCACACACACAGAGGCAGGCAGTCACTCACACAGGCAGATAGCCACACAAACACACACAGGCAGACAGTCACTCACACACGCAGGCAGACAGTCATACACACACACAGACACACACACAGGCAGACAGTCATGCAGACACACACAGGCAGACAGTCACACGCACACACAGGCAGACAGTCATACACACACAGACATACACACATAGGCAGTCATACAGACACACACACACACAGGCAGACAGTCACACACAGACACACACACACAGGCAGACAGTCACACACACACACAGTAACACACACATGCTCGCAGAAAGTCATACACACATACAGACACACACACACAGGCAGTCATACACACAGGCAGACAGTCACACTCACACTGACGATCACAGATAGTTACCTCTGTTCATTGTGGAGGCAGTGCAGCTCCTGGAGACTGTTTGTTGGGGAAGAAGGGACTCCTTCCTGCTTCCCCTGCAGCAGTTATCTGGCACATTTAGCTCCGCCCCGTCGCACAGGAAGCCCCGCCCCACCGCACAGGAAGCTCCGCCCCGTCGTACTGGAGGCTCCGCCTCCGCCACAATTTTTGTTTACTTTTTTTAAAATCCCGGCTGGCCATGTGTGAACTGTGTCAGCCACAGGGCGCACCGTGCTCCCATGGTGCCCTGTGCGGCCGCACAGCTCGTACACCCATGAGGCCGGCCCTGCTCTTCGCCCTCTCTCTTGAACCCTTGATGCACCTCATTCACACCACACAATCGATCACAGGCATCACAGTACGCACACAAACATACAAACGGCGGTATACGCCGATGACCTCTTACTGATGCTCACAAACCCACTACACACCCTACTGAAGCTACTAGACGAATACTCTGAGGTCTCGGGATATCGGTTAAACCTCGACAAAACCAAAGCACTAATGCTCAATGTACAGGCAGGACATAAAAAGCTTCACATATATCGTATCTTGGAATCACACTACCAGCGGAACTACACCGCACGTACCCCTTAAACTGCATCCCGTTGCTACAAAGAGCGACAGCAGACCTTCACAGCTGGAGGGACTTGACTTGGCTAGGACGTTTAGCCTTGATAAAGATGAATCTACTGCCCCGCTTTCTCTACCTGTTTTAAACCCTCCCCATCCCAATACCTACCTCGGACTTCAAAAATTTACAAATACAAATAGACAAATTCATATGGTCAAACAAACGACTCAGAGTGAAATGAACAACAATGTACATCCCTAAAATAACAGGGGGACTAGGCCTACCCCACTTCCAGCATTACTACCATGTGACTCAACTCACCAACATACAAAATCTACACTCCCCACCCGTGGCCAAACGCTTGATAGAACTAGAACACAACCACTTTGGCTTCCCCTCCCTTTACCTATGGGTAACCCGAAAATTCCATCCCACACCACCATCTACGCCTCCAACACTATCTAACTCCATAACCATATGGGACAAGCTCACCAGAAAATTCCCTATAATTAACGACTCAAAGCCACTGACCCCCATACTGCGCAACAAAGCCTTTACGCCAGGCATTAACCCTAAAGATTTTGCGCATTATGAATACAATGATCTCTACAAGCTCTACCACTTTTTTGCTGAAGGGAAATTACTTCTGTATAATGACCTACTACAACAACACTCACCCTACAACACACATGACTTTTTTTGATACATACAGTTGAAAAGCTTCCTAGAACTCCCAGAAAATGCAACAGCAGCCACCGCCAAACTCACGATTTTCAAACAAGCATGTATACACAACCCAACCCACAAAAGACAGATCCCTGACAATTACCTACTTCTAATCTCTAACCTACTACCAGGAGCATTGGCCTATGTGTCGACTTGGGAGAGGAACCTGGGACCTCTAGAAGACCCAACAGACTGGCAGGATATTTGGGGGGCCACCGCATCCATATCCATCTGCGTAAACCACAAGGAACAGGCCTACAAAACCCTACTAAGATGGTACCTAACACCCACATGACATGGGCAGGTCCAACTCAGACCTGTGCTGGAAACAATGCGGACACAGGGGCACATTCATATACCTATGGTGGCAATGCTCCAAGTTAGCACTACTGTGGACGGAGGTCGCAAACCCCTATCTCCAAACTACTCCAAGTGATCGTCCCCCTAGATCCCTGGATCAGGCTCCTCTCGAAACCCTGGGACCCCTTAAACAGAGCACAAAATAAATTCACAAACAGAATGGCCCCGACCACGAGAATGGCAATAGCAGAACTCTAGGGCATCTCATACCCACACTCTCCACGTCCTTTGCTAAACCAAGGAAGCAATGGAGATGGATAGGATTTCAGCCAAGGTCCTCAAAACATCTTTATAAGATATGGGAACCATGGTTAAATGAACCCTCACTATCGTAACAGACTCCTATAGCAACATAGCAATCAAAGCACTAAGAAGCAGGCTTGGGCCAAAGAAAGTATTGTTAAAATAACTAAAAGGATAAAAAGGATATATACTCACAAGAGAGGAGCAATGTCAAGTGTTGCACAATCCTAATAGGCGTAGGTGGTATATTCCCCACCATTCCTTGAGAGCTCTAGAATCTGTTTTTATTTGCATTTTCATATACCGATGACTTCTGACTGCTACACTGTGGGTTTGTTTTGTTTTTTGTATCCTAAACAATTCTTCTGGCACTTGTGGCTGGAATCTTTCTTGGTCTACCTGATCTTGGTTTGGTTTCAAGAGATCCCTAAAATTTTCAACTTCTTAATAAGTGATTGAACAGTACTGACTGGCATTTTAAAGGCTTTAGATATCTTTTTACATTTTGTACATTACCTTGTTATGCAAGTCTTTTGACAGTTCTTTTCTGCACCCCATGGCCTGTATCTAACCTGCTCAGTGCACCCACATGAGAGCTGACAAACTTATTGACTATTTAAACAGATACTAATTGCAATTTAAAAAGCCACAGGGGTGAAAAATTAACCTTTTAATTGCCATTATAATCAGTGTGTCACTGTGTGTGTGTCTGTAACAAGGCCAAACATTCAAGGGTATGTAAACTTCGGATCATGGCCGTTTGGGTGATCTCTCTTATTATGATTTAAAAAGGAGCTAAACAACTATGTGATCATAAATGGCTTCATATGATCACTGTCCTTCAATAAAATACATTTATTTGCATGATCGGTCATATTTTCAAAATCAATGTCCAAATTTCTCAATTTCTGCCAGGGTATGCAAACTTTTAAACACAACTGTGTGTGTGTGTGTGTGTATATGTATGTATGTGTATATATATATCACTGGCGATTATAATGGCCCTGTTCTCAATCTATATCCCATTCTACACAATAGATAATAGTACAA